CCACGCATAATATATATCAGATATATGGGTCTCATATAAACAAGATGGCGACTTTGGGTGTGCCAGGCATAATATATATCAGATATATGGGTCTCATATAAACAAGATGGCGGCTTTGGTTGTGCTCACGCATAATATATATATCAGATATATGGGTCTCATATAAACAAGATGGCGACTTTGGTTGTGCCACGCATAATATATATCAGATATATGGGTCTCATATAAACAAGATGGCGACTTTGGTTGTGCCACGCATAATATATATCAGATATATGGGTCTTGTATAAACAAGATGGCGACTTTGGTTGTGCCACGCATAATATATATCAGATATATGGGTCTCATATAAACAAGATGGCGACTTTGGTTGTGCCAGGCATAATATATATCAGATATATGGGTCTTGTATAAACAAGATGGCGGCTTTGGTTGTGCCACGCATAATATATATCAGATATATGGGTCTCATATGAACAAGATGGCGACTTTGACTGTTCAACGATTACAAACTGAGATGTTACCAAGCTTTAATTAGGTATTTTTTAGGCGATTGGAAGGTATTGAAAGAGTCACCAGCGGTAATCAGTGCAAGTCACGCCCAGGTCAAACTTCATACTTGTGATTTCCATTAGAAGAGCGCATTGGATTGTGGGAAAATGAATGTTCATCAACAAACATATGTCACATGTGCGCAGCACGACAACTGCTGCCGTTTAATTTTTTGTCATGTAAGTTATTTCTCTTACCCACATTTTTTTTTCACACAATCCTCCAGCTTAACCTCTTCAATGTTAACATATTTTTTTTTCCAATAATTTCTGTTCATACTGGACCTAATGGACATAATTTTGTGTTTGAATATGGAAAAAAGGATTACTTAGCTGTCATACTGGTAAACAGAGAGTACACAGTGGCCATTGAATGTTTGAATATTTTGTAAACAAACAATATATTTTACTATAGATACATTACTGTGGGTGCTATATCAGACAGGAAGCAATGCACAACTGCAGCCCTTCGATTTATCCAAAACGTTTCAATTAATATGTTCTTTGGCAAACGTATGTTGAATTATTAATTACTCTATTGATTTATTTTGTAATAATTTAATATATAACATTTTGTTGTATTTGTATATCCTGAACTGTGGCTGATTAAGAAAATAATTGATCAATCAAGCTATCATTATATTTTAATTTTACAATTTACCTATATATCTAGGTTTGGACGTTTGTTTTGTTGGAATTCCTTTGGATATAGGCACATCTTTTCGGTCTGGTACACGCCATGGTCCTCGTCAAATTCGCAATGAGTCCTCCATTATCGGAGCTTTTAATTGTTCTACAGGTATGTATGTATGTATGTATGTATGTACGTCTTATAAACACAATTTTCAATTTCTTTACCTACCTGACCATCAAGCACTCATAATAATGATCCAGCATAATAATAATAATAGATAACAATTTCAATGAATATCATGATTTCTTTTTTAATCTGTGCTCAATTGACAGCCTGTTACTGATAACAGTCTGTGATTATCTGAACCAAATATTAATAATTTAAACTGAGTATATGAGGTTATTACGAGGATACTGCAAATTATGCACAAAGACAGTACAGCGGAGGTCTATTCGACCACGTACTGTCTGACTGCATACTTTGCAGTATTCTCGTAACAACCTTATTGTTATACATCTTTTCCTCCCAGGGATACATCATGGGAATGCTGAAATCCAAAACGTTTAGAAACGATTTAGCGAACATCTTTCTGTGGAGTCCGGCCAAACCCTGGTGGTAGCCAATTTTGTTGTTATTATTAGAGGACGCTTAATCGTTCCATATTTGGAATTCACGTTTCCTACTATGGTAGAATAAAAATACCCTCTGCAATACCACAAAATTACAGCATGTTGTAACTGATGGCGTTACAGTGACAGATGAAAATAATAACTGATAAGGGACATTGCCTATGGTATAGCACAGTGATATCATTCTGATGTTATTTAATTTTTATATTGTAATGTTTTGTTGTTTTTTATTACTGGTACCCACATTTTATTCTCTATTACTTTAACCGTCACTGAGAGTACCCAACATTTAAAAAAGACTACCAGTAAATATCTAATAAATTAATTAAAATAAAAAAAATACATAATTAAATTTCAATATTTAAAAACCAAACTAAGATTCTATTTCAAACAGATTGAGCCAATCTATAATATAAATTTTGCATTATCTTGTATTGTATCCGCTTCTGTAGGTGCAGCTCCATTTGAATCATTACAGATAGCAGACATTGGTGACATTAATCTGAATTTGTATGATTTGAAACAAGCTTGTAACGACATCCGTGAATTTTATAGAACCAAAGTGTTACCATATAATTGTGTGCCTCTTACTATGGGCGGAGATCATACACTTTCTTATCCAGTGTTACAGGCCATCAAGGTAAGGTCAAAGGTCGGCAGTTAAAGAGGATTTATTTATTTATTTTGTCACTTTAACACAGCTACAATGTAACAAAAAAGGTGTACAAGGTATAAAATATGCAGAGAACAGATTACAACACTCATAAATCTTATTTACAGATTTCAATCGAAATAAGTTAAAATATTATGAAGTCATATATTATGATAACAGTTGGCATACTGCAAATATACACCTAAAAATGAAAACAGCTGCAGCATCGGTTGTTGGCCCTCAGTTCAGTTTTAATGTAATGCCCTCAGTGGTAACTACTGCTAATTTAAATGTCTTTCTTTTTTTACCTTTAGGAGAAACATGGTGCAGTTGGTATGGTTCATATTGATGCTCATCCAGACACTTTAGGTACTATGATGGGTAAAGATGTTGCACATGGTACACCGTTTTTAAGATCTGTTGAGGAAGGCTTACTGGATTGCAACAAAGTTATAACTATTGGTTTACGAGGCCATGCTGCGCTGCCGGGTGGTGATTGGAAAGTACCAGTAAGTGTAGTTAATTATTTGAAAACTAATCAACATGTCTTATTTCCTATATTGCACACAAGCTGGACAAAATAAGTGCAGGACAGATAAAACTGCTAAAAGACAATGAAATACAGGACACGAATTCAATCGGCAGGGCAGCCAATTCACTTGTTTTGAAGCATGGTTTAGGCAAACCTTCTCTCGTACTAAATATTTGGATAACAATTAATTGCCATTTTCATCATGACACTATTTTCAGTGGTAAACAATTTGTACTATCAGTATATTATTACTGCATGTGCTGTAAATTTATACATTTTAGAAACTCATTTAGCTGTCAAATGCAAGGCTAATAGTCATAGTCTGTAGGTAATTCCCAATTTTCGAGTTCTCAATGGCAGCTAATTTACACATGCATTTCAAGGTTCCGCCGTGTGGGGGCGAACTCGTGGAACTTGCAAATGAGTTAAAAGTTCGCCCTTTAGAGCCTGACGATCGCAAAACCTCGAGCAAGCATCGCCGTACAGTTCAGGACATGGAATCTACCCTGACATTAGAACATGTCATCTGCAGATATATTTGCTTACTTAATACATCGATGTGACTGGACACCGTCCAGGTTAAAAGAATATCGATATGACAATGGTTTTCTTATGTACAAAGATGGACATATTGTTTCCGTCAAGCTTCACCATGTTAAAGAAACTGAAGTTATTTACATCATGGCTGAGTGTGTTCGAGAAACACCCAAAAAAAAAAAACCTTACCAATGCTGGTTTCTGGTTAAAACAAGTTCAGAAATAATTTCCGGTGGCTGTAATTGCGTTGCACAAGTCATTTTTTTTATTAAGAACTAAACGCAACTACAAGCGTCACCATGACATATGTTACATTCCCGCTCCTCGTCGACGTGACTTGAAATAAATGTTATTAATAATCGCTTTAATGATTGTAACTAAAAATAATTTCCATTGAAAATATAATAGAGAACATGGTTCTTGCAAACACTGTGTGGCGCTACAACTATTCAGTATCCAGGATTTTGAGTCATGCCACAAAGATCGTGCAACACAGGTCGGCACAGATGTTGCATGTATATGGGACAAGCCGAGAAAGGAATTCACCCCCTGCAAAATGATAGTATTGATACAAGACGAAATAAATCGCGTCCAGCCACTGCTAAACCAACATTGTCATCTTACAACCCAGGAAGAAAATCATGCCATGAAAACAACAAAGTTTAATCAAAGCTATTTACGATATTTTCTCTGTTAACTCATGCTACAACCACAGTTTTTGGATGGAGTTTCCTACAAGAAGGCTCTAAAAATACATGAGCACATGTGCAATTGGATGAGTGCATTTGCCCCTATTACACCAGTATTCAGTGGGGAAGGTGCTCAGTGTCTGTTCTCCTGGCACTGGTATTTTGAAGTGTAGCAGTGGGGTTAACACCGGGGGGTGGGGGGTTGTGGGGTGGTGGGGTTTGTCACTCTATATGTTGTTACTACCCTATGTGCGTTCCAAATTTAGTGGGAAAGCTAATTTGTTTGCTAATCAGTTTAGCACAATAAATCAAGTCTTTCTTATGGGTTCTACAATCTTTGTCAAACCACTTTCTTATGTTTTTGTTTTCGTTTTGTTTTGATGTTTGATTTTGTTCTTTTTAAAGGTTTGATCAGCTACATCACCAATAATTGAGTTGAAATTCAGTACTGCATCATGTATTCCATCGTTATCCAAGTTATATTTGTTGTCTAAGAAAGTTTTAATTAAATTTTGAGC